ATTTGTCTCTTTTTGCCGTTGAGAAATCTCAGATTTGACTGTAGGTTTTGCAAGTTCAACATGGGTTAGGTCGAAAGTTGAATGAACGAGTACTTATGTCCTTTCGATTTCTTACAGGTTGAGTTGTTGTTGCTCATAACACGCTAGCATTCTGCTAATGAACGCTGGTTGGTCAGTGAAGGACTTTTGACTTGAGCTCGGCGACTTCTAAGGGCCCCCCCCCCTTTTCCCCCCGCTACCACGCCCCTGTGTAGTGTCCTGCGCGGGACTGTTTTCTTCATCCCACTCCCGCCCGCCGAATTTTTGACCATTACCGCCCGCTCCCGCAACGTATGTGTTACACTCCCGCCCGCTACCGCAATATGTATGTCCACTCCCGCCCGCACCCGCAAAACTCGGATAATTTATTCCCGCACAATAATAGAGATGCACTGACTTTGTGTCTTCTGCCGTCCCGCAGGAAAAAAACGCGTATTTGTATTGCTATTGTTAAAGATTCATGGGGTTGTTGGTTTTGTTTCCCTGGCCTGCATGTATTCTGACGCACTGATCAGGAAGATGAATAGTAAATGTCAGACTTGCCTTGCTCAGGTTTTGTGCTGTAAATACCTCGTTTAAGGTTCTTTTCCACATCATTGACATCTCCATCATGTCGTTAGGCTACCTCCCAATCCCGCAGGGGGTTTTATTTGTCCGCCCATTCCCGCCCGCAGCAAAGTTCAAACCGCCCGCTCCCGCGAGATTTGCGTTGGGTCCCGCGGGACCCGGCGGGACTCAATCCCAATGCAGCCCTCTACCCCTGTGCACATCTACGTCATCAAGCTCAGTTTGAGCCTGCGCAGTGCGCTCGGCAATCAGGAAGTGAGTGCTTCTAATTGACTTCACTTTTCTCCGTTGAAGTCTATGGGGTCGCTGTGTCCATTTCTTTTACTATCTTTGGAAAGCGCCAAAGTGACTGAAGGATTGCCGTAAAGCAGTATCTCTGGTCGTACGATGTGTATGACGTCATTGACATTTTAAAAGACTTCTTAAAGCAAATAAGTGACTCTAAAAAATCTAACACCCAACAATGTGTAATTTCTTTGCATCTCGTTTCGAATACAACATTCAAATTACTAGACAAAAATTTATATCCTGAGAAAAGTGGATTTTGAGGGTATAGCTCCATAGACCTCCATTCATTCTGCACTCATCCTGTGAGCGCCCTCATATGGAACCAGAGTGGAACTGCAACCAGTTCAGAAGGCGGAAGTTTACTGAGAGTGGAAGTTATCCCCTTATTAGACATTCTCTGGTATCAAGAAGCTTGCAGGAAACGACTGAGGTGCCCTTGAGCAAGGCACCTAACCCCCAATCGATCCTCGGGCGCCGCAGTGAATGGCTGCCCACTGCTCCTGGTGTGTGTGTGTGTGTGTGTGTGTGTGTGTGTTCACTACTCACTGCTCCTAATGCCTGTGCACTAACTTGTGCCGAGTATGAGTTACTAGGCGTACTTCACTGAATGGAAAATTATTTGTCATGTTTGGCTCATGCCATGCCATGGCTCATCAATGAAGACAAGTAATATCTGATTTTTTCCCCAATAAAGAATCATTGTGTTGTGTTTGAGCTAAAAGCTTATAGTTTGTGTTATGTCCCAGCCCTAGATACACCAATTAACTTTTGTTGTAATAGCTGTCTAATTAAGCCACCTTTTTAACTAAGGCTACACAGTATTCATTACGATGTCATTAAAAATTGAAATAACTGATCATTATCTTCCTTTCTAAAGCTCTTTAGTAGATCAATTAAAGTAATTGCAATTTAGTTATGCCCACAGAGTGTCTGGTACAGGCACGTTTCAGTTTAATATTCATGATTATTGATATAATTAAGGGAACATATTTAATTAGAACAGTTCTCTTTTTAGTTCTCTAAGAACTAAAATCCTGTGAGATTAAGAATCAATTACAAACACTTTTGGAAACGGTTTTATCTGCAAGACTTCTGTATTCCCTGAGGATATAAGTATAATGGGATTTCTCCATTAAATTTACCTGTGGTATATTCTTAGCAGAACATATAAGACAACATGGGTCTACATTTTTATTTATGCTCTTTTATTTCTATAAACAGAGTATAGTACAATCAATTGTATAACATCTTGCTGGTGAGAGGATGTAATAAATAGCACCCAACTCTGTGATTGCCTGTAGCCATATTGACAGCTATCATGAACCAAAAAGATTAAAAGGTAAATTATATAAGGACTAAAATGATTGACATATTTGATTGATTGAAGAGTTTCATTGCTGTTCTTGTGATTTGAGAAAAGATTTCCGGTGCAAAAGGGACATAAAATATTGAAATAGCATCAAAATAAATACAGAAAGCTTTCTAAGTAGAACATGATGGACATCCAGGACACAGTAATAAAATGCATTTTTAGTTGTTTGTACTTGGGAAAGGAAGGTCCTCTTTCACTAATGTGATATTTTTCCTACAGAGGATTCCTGATGTTACTGATGTTTCATAAACAACTGATTTATGTTAAATTGGCTAATGTGTTGAATTGCATTTAGATAAAATGACAAACATTAATGCATAAAATGTCAAGTGTACAAGCACAAACACTAATTGTCAGACTCTCATTTACTTGCATGAAATGTAATGGACTCTCCAATTTAAATGCTTTAGCAGGGGTGAAATCAAAACTACTCTCAAAGAAGTCTCAATTTGAAACATTGTTTGAGGCATTTAAAGGGTGGTATGTTTTCAACAATTACATGAACAGTATAAAACAAACAGGACATTAAATGCGAAGTGGGGAGATTTGGTGCCAATAAATCCACCTATCAAACCTGAAAAAAAATGAAAACCCCTTTTCAGGTATGAATACACAATGAATTTGTGTTCTTGTTCTTATCTTCTGACTGACATTATGTAATTTACACACAAAGCAGAACGCATTGTCTGCAATCCGTGACAATCACAGTCAGCACAGTGTGAGTGAAGTGGCCTACTGTGACACACTGCCTATAGAAAACATTTGCTTTTTACTCGGCCGCTTTTTATTCATTTTCTAAATCCTTTCTAGAGATTTATTGTCTCCTTTTTGACATCCCTGACATCTTTTCCCATTTTCAGTTCATGTTTAACGCCCCCATGTTGTAATAGTGGATGTCTACAGTAAAAATGTGTGGATAATATATGCACAGGCCAGGCTGTCAGAGTCAGATTATTAATGATGAAACTCTATTAAATGTGTTTTTAATGGATGCAGGTTCATTTGATGTGTTAGCATTTTTTTTTTTTCATTTAAGGTATGGTGGTGCAGACCCATTAAAGGTTTTGTGTTTTCAGACAAAGACTCTGTATGAATCAGTTTTTCTTTATCAACATCTAAAAATAAACACTTTTGATATTTGATAGTCTTCACTTTTATTATTATTTTTAGACAATCAAGTACTGTAGACAAAGTAGGTAGATGTAAGAAAAATAAATAAAATGATCTCACTACAAGGAAAAGGGGTTATTGATATGCACTTATATGTAACACTGCTCTACAAGGTAGATTTGACCCTGATGAGGTATTATGTAACAATCCTAAAACCTTTAAATGAGTCATGGCAAATGCATTCAAATTTACATACTGCCCTCTTTTGGTTGATCTTGAAATGTAAAAACAGCTCATCTACATGTGGCATAGAGGCTCATTATTTTCAGTGTTATTTTATCATACACTCTTAAAAATAAAGGTTTAATGGCATCAATAGTCCCCTGAAGAACCTTTAACACCATTGGAAAAAAAGGTCCTTTAGATTATTAAACTAGAAAAAAAAAAATCTTTTAAGAACTGTTCACTGAAAGGTTCTTTGGGGAAGCCAAAATGGTTCTCCTGTGGTTTTACTGCGAAACCCCCCTTTGGAAACCTGTTATTTTAAAGAGTGTATTTACCTTGTGCAAAGCTGCTGCTGCTCAGTTTCATGTGGTAATTTATGGGAAGCACCCATTGAAATTTCATGAATGAAGAATCCTTTGATGCCAATTGAGTACCGAAATTCATTCTGTTTTTATTTTTTTTACATGTATTTATTGTTTATCCATGTAATGTCAATGCATTTGCTGTATTTCCTGCTAATTTTCTTTATAGTATTTTTTTGAAAAATGTTTACATACACTGCCGTTCAAAAGTTTTGGATCGGTAATATTTTTCATGTTTTTAAAAGAAGTCTCTTCTGCTCGCCAAGGCTGCATTTATTTGATTCAAATACAACAACAACAAAAACAGTAATATTGTATTATGACCATTTAAAATAACTGTTTTCTATTTTAATATACTTTAAAATGTAATTTATTCCTGTGATCAAAGCTGAATTTTCAGCATCATTACTCCAGTCTTTAGTGTCACATGATCCTTCAGAAATCATTATAATATGTCATTATAATATATATTTAAATAAAATAAATGCAGCCTTTGTGAGCAGAAGAGACTTCTTTTAAAAACATAAAAAATATTACAGATCCAAAACTTTTGACTGGTAGTGTATATGAGACAAATACTGTTATTAGTGTTATAAATAATGCTGCTCTATATCATATTTTTGTTTTTCCCTTAAAATGTTTGGCCTAAGATTGTCATGTGGTATGTATTAATATACCCACCCTTCAATGAGATTAACTTCCTTGTAGGCCTCTTTGGTAAGAAAGTGTTGTAAGAAGAAATAGGCTCTCAGCTTGGTTACGTGAAGGAATTTCAAGGTTACATGATGAGCTATTGTATTGGAAACAAGATGGGAATCAGAGAGCTGGAGTTTGAACATAGAACATTGTCCCAGTGGTTGTCTCTCTTCCCACGGCCATGCATTAGACTGAAGGGACAAGAGTATTTGACGGAACTGAGTGAGAAATAAAGAAATTATCTAACAATTGTCTTTCACTTTTATAAAGGAGAATTTATTTGTGTAAAGGTTTGTGATAATTGTTTTATAATACGTGTAAAAAAAATAATGATCTTTACATTGTGCTCAAAATAGTTTTTCAGTATGATTTAATTATACGATAAGAAAATGTATTATATATCAAATAAATATAAATCATTCATGTATATTAAATGCAAATACTTCACTATCATAATACAAACAAATCCCACCTGTATGAAAACCCTGAAAATCCATAAGCAATTTCTCTTCAAAGAAAGGTCAGACAGACAATTTCTTGCTGAATAACCCTTAAATAATGAATAATATATATGATATTCATATTCCAGAACATAACCCCCAAAACGTCCTTGAGTGGATAGTTTAAGACACAAGCAAGAATAAGTTCATCAGTTATTTGAATTTACAACCAACAGAGTAATTGCCTACAGCAATTAGCATGTTAAAACTTCACCACTGTGGCCGATATGACTTCAACACTCAATAATATATTCCAAAAAAATATAAACTCAGCAAAAAAAAAAAAAAACACCATCTCAATTTTAACTGCTTTTGCCCCAGCAAATTTCCTAATGTGTACATATTTGTATGAACATAAAAATGACATTTTCTTAGGCGTCTTACATTAGACACTGCAGTTTATTGCTCTGTCCATATCTGCAGTCCTCATGCCTCCCTGCAGCAGGACTATGGCATGTTCACACAGGAGATCAGGGACCCTGCGCATCTCTCTCCTGGTGTTTTTCAGAGTCAGTAGAAAGGTCTCTTCGGTGTCCTAAGTTATGGTCACAGTGACCTTAATTGTCTACCGCCTGTAAACTGTTAGTCTTAAGGACTGTTCCACAGGTGCATGCAGAATAATTGTTCATGGTTAATTAAAGAAGCATGAAAAACATTGTTGAAACCCTTTTCAATACATATCTGTGAAGCTTATTTGGATTTTACAAAATTATCATGAAAAAGGGATGTTTCATTTTTATATTAATAGAAGAGTTTCTTTATTTATGGTTCACTCTCTGGTGTGTTAGCAGGCTTCTCTTGTCTTTAAAGGTCTTCCCACACTCCGGGCAGAGGAACGGCCTTTCTCCCGTGTGAGTGCGCTCGTGCACTTTGACTTGTGACGTCTGTTTGAAGCCTGTGCCGCAGATGGAGCAGGTATAAGGCTTTTCTCCCGTATGTACTCTCTGATGTATCCTAAGCTCCGCAGTCCTGCGGAAGCTCTTTCCACACTCAGAGCAAGGATGAGGTCGTGCTTCACTGTGAGTGTTCACATGCATTTTCAGCTCATATGAGCGGCGGAAGCACTTTCCACATTCAGTGCAAGAATAGGGCTTCTCATCCGAGTGAGCACGCTGGTGACTCCTCAGTAAATACATATGAGTAAAGGCCTTTCCACAATCAGTACAATGATAATGCTTCTCTCCTTTGTGACATTGCTGGTGCTCTTTAAGTTGACAGAGCACACCGAAAGCTTCACTACAGATGCCGCAACTAAACTGTTTCTTTTCTGACTCAGGTGGCTGGTGCTCTTTTAATCTCCTGCTGTCAGTGAATGGTTTTCCGCACACAGTGCATGAATAAGGCTTTTCTCCTGTGTGAATGCGCTTGTGTGCAATCAAATTGGCATGTCCCTTGAAGCGCTTCTCGCACACGGGGCACGCGTAAGGCCTTTCTCCTGAATGAACGCGCCTGTGAACTTTAAGTCCGCCCAGCTGGCAGAACGTCTTCCCGCACTCTTTGCACTCGTAAGGTTTTTCACCAGTGTGAGTTCGTAAGTGAACCCGTAATGCACCGGATGTAGTAAAGGCCTTCCAGCATTGTGAGCACAGGTACGGCTTCTCTCCCGTATGAATCCTTTGGTGAATTCGTAGATCTATAAGTTGCTGGAAACCCTTGTTACACTCAGGGCAGTGATAGCGTTTTTCACCTTTATGAAGTCTGCGGTGATTAGAAAAGGACCCCGACTGAGCAAAGCTCTTGCCACATTCAGAACAGTGGTAGGGTTTTTCTCCTGAATGAACACGCAGATGCACTTTTAGTTCAAAAGATGTGATGAACCTCTTGCCACATTCAGTGCAACCATGAGGCCTCTCTCCTGAATGAACTAGTTTATGTCTTTTAAAGTGAACTGATGTTTTGAAGTTTCGTCCGCATTTAAAGCAATGGTGAATTGATCTGTTAGAGCGGACTCCTGTATTTTTGCCTTTTCTCCTTTTTCTTTTACCAGTTTCTAATAAGAAAAAAGACAATGGGCATGTAGCATGAGTTTAACATGAACAATAGAACATCTTACTATTCATTTGAAATAGAATTGCTTTTGTTGACAACAAATCACTTAAAATAAGGCAGCCCGTTGGCGTTGTCTTTTGAAATTAACCAGTATTCAAAAGTATGGGGTCAGTAATGTTTTTTATTTATTTATTTATTATTACTTTTATTTAGCAAGGACACAATAAATTGACCAAAAGTGATGGTAAAGTAAAATAAAAAAAAAATCTATTTTGAATAAATGCTTTTGAACCCTCTATCAATAAATCAGTGATGAAACTGTTGAATGGTACTGTAGGCTATATTGATACACTTCAAGTGCTTTTTTGCTTCAGGATCAAGATGTTTATCCCACAAAAGTGATTTTTTACAATGTATTAATATTAACAAACTGCATTGATCTAATAAAATTACAAAAATTATTACAATGACCATAGCTGAACAGGATTTTTTTTGTTAAACATCAGCATAAGAGTTATTTACCAGCCCAATGGGCTAAATTTTACTTTAGTATTAGGCATATTAATAATGTGAAGGGATGTATTATGGGTTTGCTATGTGGGGAGAATGTACTGGTTACGTTTTTGAGACAATCAGATGATTACTATTATTATATTATATATTAAGACCCTTGATCCTCACCTGACTATGGCTTTGTAAACTTTATCCATGATGTGGTTTATAATGGACTGTGGACGGTACAGAAACAGTGACAATGTTACACACTCTTGGCTTACTCTGGCTATTCTCTGCTGTCTCCAGACGACGATATGCTTGTCCCGTTTTAGCCACCGTAGCTTCTTCGAAAGGGAGGGGTGAGCAGTGGGCTGAGCCCTTAGTGCAACTCGCAACCGAACCACTAGATAGATGCCACTAAAAATCACACACTGCACCTTTAAAGAGTACAGACCACATCCCTCTAGTCTAAAGCAAATTCACTGCACAGATTTATTGTGGCTAGTTGTAGAAGAACCCAACCTAAATGGGATTTTATTCACGGTGGTGGCTTCTGTAAAATGTGAGCACAGAATTGTTGTTTGGCCGTTTTACCTTGTTTTGGGACTCCAGCCTCTTCCCTATCTGTGAGCATGGTTCTTGAATCCTGGAGGAGTGAATCCGGGTTGGCTGGACACATGCCAGAGGTGTCCTCATCCTTAACATCAGCATCTTTTTTTAACTCCACACAAATGCCAAACACACTGGGTTGACCACAAGAAGGTGGGCTTGGATCTTGCTTCTCTTCACCCACCTTAATCACTAGATGTAATTAGATACAAAAACATATTACATATACATAACAATGATCAATTGAATTCTTAACTAAGTGGACAGGCTTACTCACAGTGCTCTTGGTGTCCAGATGGGTTCGTTAGTATCTCTATTGCCGCCAGAAGAACATCCATGCCACGTATTACTCTTGGTCCGTCAAATAATAAAATGCATTAACCTTTTCTGAAGCAGGTGCATATGCTCCAATGGACCGCATAGATTCTTAAAAAGTTTCTAACAGTAAGCTAACATTTTAATCGCCGTTACAGTAACGTTATTGACACAAGCTCCGGAATTACAGGTGAAACTTTTGCTGCCTAGAGTCAGTAGCCTACAGCATGAATGACAGTGATGATCACTTCAGCGCTGCTTCAGTCGCCGCACATCTAACTGTTACAACTACACTTAAGTTCAATAATCATTTATGGCGTTAAACACAAAATCAGAACAGACAAGAAGTACACAAAGATCGAGGATCGTCTTGAAGGTGTCAATGTTTTTTTTATTTACTTCCTACTTCCGCATTAAGGGTAATGTTTCTGCGGATTCTCGTAAACCTGCTGGTTTACAGTTGAATTCAGTGATGCGTTTCTCCCACCGTTAGCCGACTATAATTGTCTCAAGTTCCGTTGATCTTTGTAGTAACGACTGAACTTGCGAACATAGTTGCTTTTGGAAAACGCACCCCAGTTAAGCTAAAGATCAGACAGAGCATTTCTGCCAGGTTTTCTACTAAAAATGATATGACTTTTTGCGATATTATTTAAGTTAAATACATATTAGTATAAAAAAAATGTGTGATATTGCCAATTAATCAGATGATACGCTACAGCAGTGTTTACTATGGATGAACGACACTTAATGCAATATGCCTCTCTAAATTCGTTCACCTTTTGTGCCCAGGGGGCGGCAGTATACTTAAATGAGAAAACGATTGCTGTTGCACCAGAGAAGGAGATGTTTGTTTGAAATTCTCTTTGTACAAAACTAGAAAGGCAGCTGCTGGTTTGAGATTGTATAGCCTGCAAGAGGCGTGTCTTGGCTCAAATACACTAGGCTTGGCTTGTACGAACGTCACATTTTCCACATAAATAAACAAAAAACAAACAAACATAAATGCGTTTTTCAAAGGTGAAAAGCTTAAAAATACATTCATAAAATGTGAGAATAATCGCCATGAGCCATCAGTCCATTTGCTACTACCGTTCTCGATCACGTGATCAGCAGCAGCGCGGTGCTACCGGAAGCCGCGCGCTAACGGAAGCCGCACGGACCGCTCTAGGTTCTGCCGTGTTTCCGTGGGGCTGCAAGCGTCTTCAATGTGGATCACTACATGGCGGTAACGCGGAACACTGCGGTAATGATGATTACCTAACGTGTTTACCTAAATATAAAAATAGTTTTAACATCTCCGTGGTTATAGTTAGCACAGATGAAATTAGTCGCAATAAGCCTCTTACTGTTTCAATATATCTTAAGTCGTGTGTACACGAGGCCTGCATGAAGGCTCGTTAGCCTCTGTTCATTGCTAACTAGGCTAGCAGCAAATTGCTATGGCGCTTATTTCAGAATTCTCTAGTATTTACCGTACATTACAAAGCGGCTACTGGCTGTTTAAGACGCATATATATGAATCCTGCACCGCTTGACTAAATCACTATATCTAAAAGCTGTAAGTCAGCTAGGATGTTTGCTGCTGCAATTTACCAACACAAGCGCGCCAATGCCGTGTCTTCAACCTCTCTTTGTTGATATATAGCCAGTCTGAAGGTGCTTAAACTCGCAGTTCACTTCAGTGATGATTGTGTGTTTACGTTAAGCCAGAAAGACCACCAAAACCAAACGCAAATGAAGGTTTCTATGAGTGGTCCAGTTTTGTAATATTTCTTATAAGATTTTTATGAGAACATTGTTTTCAGTACTAATACTACTGGCTCGTGAATCTGGTTTATGATAGATTCTTACAAGTTTGGATCCTGTAGTAAATTGGATTGAGCATGAAGAAAGTGCGGTGTTAGCATGTTTTTGTCAGGAAAGACAAATACTGTATTATAATGACTACTAGCAGTTTCTTAAAGGGATAGTTCCCCCAAAATACAATTTGTTTAATGTTGCTGCTAACTGTTTGACAGACTTTCTCCTGTGGAACACAAAAGGAGATGAATTGAAAAAGTAATTGGTGATTGAGGCCTTAACCTTTTGTGTTCCATGGAAGAAAGTAAGACAGCTATCCCTTTAATAGCTTCATCTCATTGCACTTGAACAGTGATTTAAATTATGCTATATGCGTTTCCATGAACCACAGATCATTGTTAAATTGTGAGTGCTTTGCCAGCAACTCTACACGGGCTTCCCGATCCTGGTTGGCACAGTAAGGTTCGCCTCATAGGTAAGCTGCAGAATTGGTCCTTTGCCTAATTGTATAAGTTAAAATATGCAGATGCTAAGTAGACTCACTATCTAGTCTCTATACAACTTGAATATGTGCCTTTTTATTCTTATTTTATTCTTAAATGTCCATTCTCAGTGAGGCAAAGGTCTGATGATGGAGAATGGACAAGGCACAGGTGCAAAGCTTGGATTACCGCCTCTTACTCCGGAGCAGCAGGAGGCGCTACAGAAGGTAATAATAGTTCTCTATTGGTTGACTTTACTTTTTTTTTTTTTTTTTACTTTTTATCTTTGTTGGAGACGAGGGGGGGATTGGGATCAGTACAGGTCATGGGCCAAACTCCAACCTGCATCACCTGCTCCAATGTGTCAAGAGCTTGCGTACTACTACTCCATCTAATAATAGATTCATAATTAAGAGTCAAGGCCACAGGAGGCTTCTGCATAAGTTGGATTGGAGCTCTTTTTTTTTTCATTTTGAAGGTTGGTACAAATTTTTTGTAGGATTCCTTTTTACCAAACTTGACCACTGTTCATCAGCAACTATTTCTGTTCTTCCTTTGCGTTGAAAGAATTCTCTGCAAACAAGCATGTACAGTGCACCATTATGGTGAATTGTCGGTGGCTATGTTTACATGCAACCAAATAATCTGTTAGTAATCGGATTGAAGGTTCAATCGGATTACTAACCCTCATGTAAATACCTTATCGGTCTGATTGAGCTCGAGTCGATCCGAATTAAATTGATCCAATTGAAAGGGTTGGTTTATTCCTTTTCTAATCTGATCGAGAGGACATGTAAACACTTGTTCGGATTGAAAACCGAAACTGAAAGGACTGCGCATGTGCAATGACGTTGAAATAGCAAAATGACGTATGACGCGCTGAATGAGCTGTTCTCCTGTTGAATAAGGTGTCATATAAATGAGTGTCCCGTCATTCTAAAATTCTCCTTTCCCTCAGCGTCTGTAAAGTGGAGCAGGACAACGTCCCACCAGTCCTTGTTTCGGATTCTCATCCTCAGACAACTGGTTTTGAACATGGGGAGGGGCATTTTTGCTGCGTGATAAATATAAGCAATATTAAGTCTGCTGTTTAAAACAAATAAAGAACCAATGTGGGAGAATGGTTATTATGGGCAAACAGCAGGAAACTCTGTATATTCATGCAGTGTGCGCTTGTCAAAAAATCTATCCCGATTTGAAGCTTGTGACATAAACGCACACATCAACCAGATCACGTTTAGCGTTCATGTAAACACTACATTCAGATTCATCAATCAGAATGAATCCAGTCCGATAGAAACAAAAGTTGTGCATGTAAACGTAGCCATTGTAGTAATAAGCACTCAACTATGTAGCACATATGGGAAAAATAGTGCATTTGGAATGATATAGTAAATAACCACTCTCAAAGGGATAGTTCACCCAAAACTGAAAATTTACTCACCCTGATTTACCTAGCCCATGTGAGCCATTCACTCACATTATAAAGCTTGGAAGAGCCAGGACATTTTTTAACATAACTCCGATTGTAGTTATCTGAAATAACATGTAGGGTAAGTGTCCCTATTAAGCCCACCAAAATCTAAGTCTAGGTTTTTTTCATAGATATTGACATAATTTATAAGAAAAATCATTTGTTAAAATGCAAGATTTATCTCTCATTTGAAAATTTATTAATAAGTTAATGTACAATTTAGAATATAAAATTAAGATAATTTAGGAATAAAGTCGGAAGTCTGGCATGGGCTTAATTGGTACTTTGGCACCATTTAAGCCCGCATGTGTTCCAAATAAGCCCACATCCTCATCGATTCACAAAATGTAAAAATTAAAGGTTCTCTAAGCCAGCCTTTCTCAAACTTTTTTCAGTCGGGGCACCTTTCAAAAGTGCATAAAATCTCAAGGCACCCCAGTGTAAAATATAAATTAAAAACACTGCATAACCTAAATGTAAATGCAAATGTCCTGTTTATTTAGACAGAACAGTAATGAACAGAGCATAATACGAACTGTAAATAACAATAACAATAATAATAACAATTTTACAGGGCTATCACTTTTGTGAAAAAATCATGATCGATTTTTGAGACATAAATGTTCATTGAATCGATTGTAAAATCGATTTTCCATGTCTAAAGACGTTTCCATTTTCAGCGCCAAATATAGGCAAATCCACGGACAACTAACAGGCATTAGCACGAGCGTAAAGAGTGCTGCTTGAGACGCGCACAAGTCAGCAATATTTCTGATGATTTATTGGCATGAAGTTTCGTGCGCAATGACAAACAGGAGTGCAAGATTCTCGAAAAACAATAAGGAGAGTGGACTGCCATAACATCAATGAAAAACATCACTGCAGGCTTCAACATGGCTGTGTTTACGATTAGAAATGTCAAACAAATTTCGCCTATGTGGGCGATTGTAGGCCGGATCTGTATCTGTATGCATGGGACTGTCTGAATACCGGCAGAATTCACATTTTTGTTGTAAAAAGAGACACATTATGCAGAAGTATAGTATAGTTTGTATGTGTGTGTGTCAGAGCCTGCAGTTGCTGTGTGACGCGCGTGTCGTGACGAGCTGGACGCGCTCCGAGAGAAGGCCGTTAAAATCGATTCCCTATTTTCGGTTTCGATACTTGTGTTGGTTGGTCCGATCGATTGTGCAATCGATTTTCGAACGTAAAGTGACAGCCCTTTTGCAAAGTAATTCACAAAATAATTAATCAGAGACACAAATGCCATACAACCGTAAGGGCTCAAACATATAGCCTATCAATGATAATATTGTGGTAAAAAAAATTGATTTGCTTATAATTAACATGACAATGTGTACAAAACTAAAGTGGCCTAAATTCACGTTTATTTTTTACGTTTCTGTCAGTCTGAGGTGTTGTTGCTATAACGCGTTGCTATGGGTTG